ATCTCCCTCTGAAAAGTGCCATCTACTAGATCATCCTCTGTTAGCTTCTCCTATGTCAGTACAAGAGTGACAGAGAGAAAACCACCATGAACCTTTACATAAGTCCTCAAGAAAGGATGGGACTGAGCTCACCTGTAAATGCATTTAGTATCTGTTTTGAAGATCCCCTTTTGAAGATGCTCAGTGCTTTGTATAGTTGATACAGGAAGGTGTGGAGTTGATGCCCATTGCCTATCTCTACTTTTCTTCCTCTTCCTCTGCTTTCTTTTCATTTTGGCCTCTTGCCTCTGAACTACGGTAGGTGAGAGATGAGAGATTTTGGATGGAGTTTCAGAACTTTTTTTTTTCCAATCAGGAGCACATTTCTTACTGTGGTGAAGAACTCACAAGTAGAAGTGATTGTCATGTGTCAAAGAAGGAATAGACTCATGGATTTCATTTTCTTCCTTCTTCCTTTCCTCCTTCCTACTTCACCAGAGGATACAAGTATCTAATTCTCCTCCTCTTGCTCCCAAGTTCATTTGTTCTGTTTATAAAAAATCTTATTTAGGAACCTACATCTCTGGGGTTTTCAGAAGTTTCTTGAAGCTGGATATCTAAACTCACAGCAATTGCAATCAAGGGAACCTATAACCAGATCAACAACTCATGCAACTACTGTGTAATATACGTACTATGTATATATAAAATATTATATGCTTCATATAACATATAAATATTTTAGTAATTATAGTTGTTCCAGTTGTTATTCCAGCTCATCAGAGTAAAGTTCAGAATACTTCATATGAGGATCCCAAACCTCTGAACATGTTCCACAGTATGCAGATATTGTATATAACAGGATGGCTGGTACAAGGAATTCTGTCTGCCTCCTTTCTCCTTCTCTGCCTTAGCTGAATATTGCTACATGAAACACTATGTAATCATTATGGCTGTGTCTCTGTTTAGTAGAAAAGATAGTTTGTCATTATACTTTATAGGTACAGATTAATCAGATGAGTTATTCCTGCTATGAATTGCTGTTTCCACGCCATTTAATAGCTTAATCCCTCTTCTATAATTACGTACAGTTGGAGGGTTTTTTCTTTGCTTGTTTGTCTGTTTATTCTTTGAGGCTAAGTTAATGCTTACTTGGATATAATGCTTACCTTATGTTAATAGAATTTTACAAGTCTATTCATTTTGCTTGTGGTTGAAGGTTTTGAAACAAAAGTGCAAACAGTTAACATGCAAGGTGAGCAGAGGTGAGGTTTCCAAGTATGAAAACCATCTCTTTCTTGCACCTGGTGCACCTCCAAAGCTCTAGTGAGCTTATACAGCATTAATGTGGCATTAAAGGTGAGCAAAAAATTCCGAGTGGAACTACTAAGTGCGTGTTGCAGTAGAAGGCCAAGACAGAAGTACATCTCTGTTTCCAGAGTGTCAACACAGTCAAAACAGATCAAAGGCAGCATATTCCATGGGCTCCACATTCTTTGGAGAGTTCAAGAGAGCTATACCTCAACAATTGAAACCACTGACAAAGATGCCAGTTGGAACCCTGACTGAATTCATACCAGTCCTCAGGCTTGTTTCTGTCAACCATGGTGCAGGACCCAAACACTTCTGGGTGACGAAAAACAGGCAGTGTTTGTCAGAGCAATTGATGGGTATATTGTCCGAACAGTACTAGATGATGCTAAAAACTACTACACTTTTGGTAAGAGCAGGAAAGTTTATTTGATTCTTTATGTCCACCAATGAAATTTCTTTTTCAGTCTTATTCCATTTCCCCAGAATCACCCTTTTGAAATAGGTATCTCAAGATAATTTCTCGTATATACAACATGCTCTTTGTGAATATTTGATGGAATGGTCACTCAACGTTTACAATATTTCTGAGCCAAGCTTTTGGTAATAAGCTTGAGACAATTTTTATTCTGCTTTTAAAAATCAAGATTCTGAAGCAAACCAGTATGCACCTAGATTTTGTACAACTAAAAGGACTACAAAAGGTAAGTCAAAACGTGTGTATTATTATAGACTGCTACAAAGCGCCAAGAAAAAATTAGTCCACTGCAGTGGATTTAACTCATCCTTGCTTTTGGTTTGTACTTTGTCTTTATAATCTTTTACTACCTTATTTTCTCAGGGTCAGCTTCCTTGCCAGGTTCCTGAAGTAGAACCTGACGAGAAGGGCCACGGATACTGGCAACATGCTCTTTGAAAACACAGCAAATGTAGCCTTTTTCTCCTCTGTCAAAAATTCTAAGCCAGTATGGTTTAATTTTTTAGAAGAAAAATACAGCACCTTTAGCAATAGAGGGAAAACTGTAAAACCTTACAAAGCATATGTATCCTAATACTAAATGGAAAGGAAGAATGATTTTTTTAGCTTTATTCATGTATGATACAAAACATGCTCTGGGATTTGCCCACTGATCTTACCTCTAGGGACAAATCTTGTAGGTACTCCTGGGACTGTAAACTGGAAAACAGAGGAGCCAGGTGAGCCAAAATCCCCAGAGATCCTCCCTGCCTCCCACAGATGTGTTGCCATGTGTGCTGCTGGTGAACAGCATACACACAGCTGTGCTGCTAACAGATTTTTTCCCTTTTGATAAGGGTGAAAGGGAAACTGCCTTCTTGCATGGGCAGATAAAGGGGCAGAAAACATATAGACCCATCCTAAGGTGTTCAAGAGTCACTCCTTTACCTTAGTTTTTATTTTTTATTTACCTTCAGTTTTTATTTAAAAGGAAGTTTTAGCCTTAATGCCTCCTAAGAAAAACATAAGATGACCTGACAATATTACATACATGTGTGTCCTCTTGAAACAACAGTTTACCTGAAGCTCAGACACCGTGCCCCATTGGGATTGTGACTTAGAGATATACTGCTCTGCAGACCCCATTTCTTACTGGCTGTTCAGAAAATACAGAAGTAACAGGAGTACAGCAGGCCCAGGTCTGGCATCAGTTGGGTGCACCCTGGCTCCAGCTGCTGGCAACCTCTAAAGGTATCTCCTACTCCAGGTGGAAGCAGAGGTCTCCTGATGGAGGCAGAGAAATCCTTTGCTGCTATTTTGCCTCTCTGGTAGGTGACTGTTGTCTCACTGCTTGTGTCCTGGGCCAGGAATAAGGGTATTGGTATAGCTGGCATAAGTGGAGGTGTGCTTATGGCCACAGAACAGTTTTTTCTGAGAATGCTGTTTTTTGGGGTTTTTTTTAATGAATTAATTTATGGATTCAATCTACCAGGATTAGTTTTGCTTTTATTTGAAATTACTTTTTTTGGGTACTTCAGTGCTTGAAGAATACTTTCCACTGAATATATTTTACTACATTAAAACAAATCTCAAGTGTGAATGATGTTAGCTGTTTATTTCAGACATTTAATTATTGTGGTCTTTCCCACCATCAGAAAATAATGTTTTATAGCAGAACATAGTGGTTTCTGGACTAAAAGCTAAAAGCCAGTCTGGATAGCACAGACACTTAGCCTTCTGAAAGCACTGGGAAAGAAAAAGCTCCTGCATTCTTCTGATCTGTTAGCAGCTCCATCCATGATAGCTAAATCTGGAATTAAGACTAAAAAACATCCATTGTTACTTAGTATTGACTTGGACTCTGTCAAAGTGCTTGGAACCACACAGAACAAAGAAGACAACAGAGTTAATGACAACTCTTACCTAGATGTGTGTGGAACAGCAAAGACATCAAAACCAGCTCACTATGGAAACTGAAATAATTGGCTTGTGAAGCTTCCTGAGAAATATATAAACCAAGCATTTACAAAGGTTATTGGATGGTGTCTTCAGTTTCATCTAGATAGCTTCAAATTAGCAAGCCCATAAATTAGGCTTCCAATTTGATCAAAAAGTTAAGATTGTTAAATGACAAATTTTAAATGATTCTATTACATATGAGAAAAATCTATCAAATCTGTCCCTGGTAGATTCAAGAGGAAACAATACAAGAACTTCTGTGAGGCAGCTCACCACAGGCAGACCTGCAGCATCCAATCAAGAAAGGCTGTGATTGCTCAGTATTAACTTCCTCCCAAAGGTCAACAAGGTAACACAGTGGTCTGGGAGACCTGAAAAGCTCTGCTCTGAACAGCCTGCTTAGAGGCTCATGTGGAAAGTGACACTTTGGAGTGGGATAGACAACATGTGCTGGCACTGACAGTTCACTCTCCTCATACAAGAGCAAGGGTTGCTGCAACTGGAGCTCACAGGCCCCATCTTCAACACATGCCAAGAGGATGCTCCCTAAAAATGGCAGTAGACTTGCAGTACCCCTTGTCAAAGGCTGGAGTTGATGTGGGTTCACAGAGACCAGAGAAATTAATGGTACAGCAATCTACCGCAGGAGGGTACAAAAACTGGGGGGAAGGGGAGCCAAAAAAACCCCTAAGGCATTCAGCTGAGGATGTCATCTGGTCAGAAGCTGGAAAAATATCTGGGAAAATATTCACAGAATTATAGAATGGTTGGGTTAGAAGGGACCTTAAAGATCACCCATTTTCAACTTGCCTGACATGGACAGGGAAACCTTCCACTAGACCAGGTTGCTCAGAGCCCCATCCAGCCTGGCCTTGAGTACTTCAAGGGGTGAAACATCCACAGTTTCTCTGAGCAACCTGTTCTGTTACTTCCCTACCCTACAAATAAAGAGTTTCTTCCTAACATTTAATCTAAATATCTCTTAGTTCAAAACTGTTCCTCCCTTGTCCTATCACTATGTGCCCATGTAAAAAGTTGCTCTCCTCCTTTTTTATAAGCCCTCTTTAGGTACTGGAAGGCTGCTATAAGGTCTCCCTGGAGCCTTCTCTTCTCCAGGTTGAACAGCCTGAGCTTTCTCAGCCTGTCTTTATAGGAGAGGTGCTCCATCCCTTTGATCATCTTTGTGACCATATTATGTATGTTTGTAGAGTTCTGACTTGTCTCCTTGGTACCTGCTGATAATTTCTTTTGAAAACAAGGTGTTAATTAAAAAAAGATTTTCAGCACCCTTAAGTCTGTTCCATTACTCCTTTATTCACTCCAATTACAATGTCCAAAGTGGATCAAGGTGCTGCAGCCAGTTAAGCTTTGTTTTCTTCATATGCTCTGAAAGAAAGAAAAAAAATATCCACAACAACATGAGAGAAGCATCATCAGAAAACATTCACCCTTAACTTGTGACACCAGAAATGAAAGCTGACCTTGACAGTCAGCTGGGTAAAGCCCAGGGTACCTCACCAAGTACCCAGCAGTACTTCATGTAATTTTTGAAGATGTTCAGGTGAGGTAGGACTTTATACAGATACGTGGGAGTCAGGGGTGTGCAGAAGTATTTTCTGAGAGTGATTTAATTGAGTCCAGCTTGGGAATGTCACACTATGTTTTTCTTTCAGGAGCTAACTGGCTGCCAGCCTTCCCTGACCTGAATGGCAGTGCAAAATTGATTCACAGAATCACAGAATTGTTAGGATTGGAAGGGATCTCTGGAGATCATCTGGTCCAACCCCCATGCCAAGGCAGGGTCACCTAAACCAGGTGACACAGGAACGTGTCCAGGTGGGTTTAGAGTGTCTCCAGAGAGGGAGATTCCACGACCTCCCTGCGAAGCCTGTTCCAGTGCTCTGCCACCCTCAATGTAAAGAAGTTCTGCCTCATGTTGAGGTGAAACTTCTTGTGTTTTAGTGTATGGTTATTGCTCCTTGTCCTATCTCCGGGCACCACCAAAAAGAGCCTGGCATCACCCTCTTGGCACCCACCTTTAAGTTACTTATTAATGAGGTCCCCTAGACTCAGGTTCTCTAGACTAAACAGGCCCAGCTCCCACAGTCTCTCCTCATCCAAGAGATGCTCCAGACCCCTCCTCATCTTTGTGCTCTCTGCTGCACCCTCTCCAGTAGCTTCTTGTCTTTCTTGTACTGAGGAGCCCAGAACGGGACAGATGTGCACTCCAGATGTGGCCTCACTAGGGCTGAGCAGAGGGGCAGGATCACCTCCCTCGATCTGCTGACCACAGTCTTACCGATGGGTACCGTGGGCCCTCCTGGCCGCAAGAGCACACTGCCGGCTCACGGTCAGCTTGTCACCCACCAAGGCTCCACAGTCCTTTTCAGTAAACCCAAGCCCCGCAACTCACAGCTCCCCCGCCCGCCTCACTCACCACAGGCCCGCTCCGCAGCGCAGCGAGCAGCGGTAGCGCCCGGCCCGGCCCGGCCCCGCCTGCAGGCACCGCCCCTTCCTGCACTTGGCGGTGCCTGCCGTGCTCTCCTGTGTTACAGCTGTGTTACGGCCCCGCTCCCCGGCCGCGGCCGGCGCTGTGGGCCATGCTGCGCGGGGCGGCGGCGGCGGCCCGGCGGTGCGGGCTCGGCCCCGGCCCCGGCCCCGGCCCCGGCCCCGGCCCCGGCCGGGGGCAGGCGGGGACGCGGCGGTGCTGTGGTGCGGGGACGCGGCGGGAGTGGGCGCCGCCGGCGGGGCGCGACTGCGGGATCGTGGCTTACAACAGCCGGAGCCGGAGCAAGGAGCCGCTCGTGCTGGCCACGGAGGGAGTGGCGACCTGGTAGCGCCTGGCGGCGGGCGGGCGTGGGGGTAACGGGGTGACGGCCGCAGTTGGTGCCCGGAAAGGGTTCCCGTGCCCAGTTCTGGGCTTCTCAGTGCAAGAAAGACAAGGAGCTACTGGAGAGGGTGCAGCAGAGAGCACAAAGATGAGGAGGGGTCTGGAGCATCTCTCGGATGAGGAGAGACTGTGGGAGCTGGGCCTGTTTAGTCTAGAGAAGACTGAGAGGGGACCTCATTAATAAGTAACTTAAAGGTGGGTGCCAAGAGGGTGATGCCAGGCTCTTTTTGGTGGTGACCCGAGACAGGACAAGGAGCAATAACCATACACTAAAACACAAGAAGTTTCAGCTCAACATGAGGCAGAACTTCTTTACGTTGAGGGTGGCAGAGCACTGGAACAGGTTTCGCAGGGAGGTCGTGGAGTCTCCCTCTCTGGAGACACTCTAAACCCACCTGGACATGTTCCTGTGTCACCTGGTTTCTAGGTGACCCTGCCTTGGGATGGAGGTTGGACCAGATGGTCTCCGGAGGATCCTAACAATTCTGTGATTCTGTTTGCCCCCTCTCCCCAGGTACAGCTGCGGGCCGACAGTGTATGACCAGGCACACCTCGGGCACGCCTGGTGAGTGCGGGGTGCCAAGCAGTGGGAGTGTGGGCCATCCCCGGCTCCAATCCGGGTGACAGAGCTGGGACTGGGACATCAGGCCTGGCCCTTCACCTCCTGCGCTGTGCAAAGGGCAAAAGTCTGTTTGTTATGTATTTTTTCTTCTTGGGCTGGGGGAGTCCATAAAGGGGGCTGTTAGTGCCGCCTCAGGCAGAGACAAACGTGTGTGTGTGTTGGGAAGAAGTGTTAGAAATGTGTGCAGTTTGTCTGGGTAGGGTGAGTTGTTTCAAATCTTATCGGCATAATGCATCCCCTCATGCAGGGGAGTTGCGGTCCTGGAGCAAAGTCTCTCAGCTGTGTAAAATGATAGTTTCACCTCAAATTTAGTTTGGGCACTGTGTAGGCACTAAGGAAAAGCTGTACAGGGTTGAGTATTGAAAACGTACTTTTAAGGTTAGCATCAATTCTTAAACCTCAAAGCCCAGGTAGATTAAAGGCCTTTTTACGTAGTAGGAGTTCTGTGGCTTACTATGTTTAAAAATAAAAAAGATCCAGAACAGCACATCTTCTCTGTAGTTCATTAGGATGATTACAATAGTAAACCAGCTTCATTGTAAGTAACTATCAAAAAGTACTTTAAATACACCAGAGAAGGTTGCTGCCCGTTGTTTTGAAAGAACGTGCCTGATGAATAGACATGCAGGGTGTCCACTGTTCCTGTGAGGCTGAGAGGAGTTGCAGCAGCTCAAGCTGCTCTTGAACTTCTGCCTCCTCATTCTTAAAAAACTAGATGTGTTGGGCTCTTTGGAAGAGCAGAGTTTTCTCGGTTACCATCTGTATGAAGATCAGATACTGTGCACTCCAGTAATTGAATAATTCCTTTTAATGTAGGGGATTTCACAGCTTCTGGTCCTATCTTAACTCCATTCGGAAACTCATGTTGAATTTTGCTCAGTGTTGAGCCATTGCAGTACTGCACAACTACTGCTTTGTTCTCTGAAAGGGAAGATTTAAAATTCCACTCTGTAGTGGGTTGACCCTGGCTGGAGGCCAAGGTACCCACCAAAGCCACTCTATCACTCCCCTCTGCAGCTGGACAGGGGAGAGAAAATATAACACTGGGTTCATGAGTTAAGATAAGGACTGGGAGACATCACTCAACAACTACTGTCACAGGCAAACAGACTCGAAGTGGGGATATTAGTTAAGTTTATTATCAGAATCAGATCAGGATAATGAGAAGTAAAATACGTCTTAAAAACACCTTCCCTCCACTCCTTCCTCTTTCCCAAGTTCTACCTCCTCTCACCCAGTGGCTCAGGGAGACAGGGAATGGTGGTTATGCTCAGTACATCACAAGTTGTTTCTGCTGCTGGATCTAAAGCACAGTGTTTATAGGGGTGGAGAATTTTACCCTTCGGTCTTGCAGCACTCTGTAGCTTCTAAATATCTGTTTTTGTCAGTAGTTTTCCTGCCTTCAGACTCATTTGGTTAAAGGAGGGAGCACAGAGGCCTTGCTCACGCTGCCTCTTCTCTTACCCATCTTTTCTTATCTTGTGTCCAAACAGCAATTTCAAGCTTTCCTTACGTGGAGGTTTGCCATACATCCACATTACCTGGGTTTTCACTTGCTGATTTAAGAAACAAGAGTTAGTGCTAAATATTGCCTTTGGTGTATCATGCAGATACACCACGCATTGTTCTCTCTTCTTCTGCACCTTCACGTGTTGTTCCTGTAGTGCTGTTGTGCGACAAGGTGCCTGCACTGAAGACCTTCTGCTCTCTTTTCCCATCAGTTAAACCCTCTAGCTCTGGGAGGAGTTGGCTGTTGCTTTCCGGTATCTCTGGTGTTACACTTGTCAGTGTTGATGTCCTGTTGCTCAGCTGATTTGTTCAGGATGGTGGAGCACTCTTGGATCTATTTATTTATTTAGTTAGTTATTTATTTATAAGGATTGTATGTTTTCTTCCCAGCAGCTAGGTCCAACCACAGAACAGCTGAAAGGTATGCTGCTGATGGCGGCTCTACAGACTGGAGATGCCCTGGGAAATAGCATGAAGTCAAATGCAGTGGTGACTGTTGGCACTGTGCCACTCTTGTCAAATACCGTTGTTTTGTTGTACTCTTGCAACATGTTATCTTCTCACTAGAATTCCCTTTTTCCCTGTCCTTCTTACATTTGGCTTGTGGCATGCACAACAAATGCAGTAGGCAATAATGCAGAAAGGAATAATGTAAAAGAGCTTGAGATTCTTGAGAAGAATTTGAAAATAATGGCATTATTATTTTTTCCCTTCCTCCTTCCCTTCCACAAGGAGTTCTTATCTCTCTAAATAGTCCAACTTTCTAGTATGTTGTACTTGCAATCTTAAAAACAGGTGCTCTGTATGCCTCCATATGACATCCAACACCCATTCTATATAAAGAAAAAGTAAGACAGGAAAATAATATTTTTTTGCCTCAGTACTGGGACTGACCTTGATCGTACTGGTTTGAGCTGTAGCCTGGTTGGCATCCAGGTTCCTGGCTTGATGCTTGGAAATAAGAGTAAAATCAAGCATGAGAGGATGTTTCATTCAGTCCTTTGTACCTGCTCTGCCACCCCTTGATTTTGACTGACTGTTTTTGCTCCTTTTTTTCTTTTTTTTAATTTTCAGTCCTGAAGTAGTAAGGACTCTGGTTTCTGAGGTGTCAGGAGATCTGCTCTGGCTCTTGCAGTATTTCTTCCATCAATTCAGTTGGAAGATCAGAGGAGCAGGAACAGTGTGAAATTTGTGTCTACTCTGGGAACAGTGACTGCAGGGCTGTTAAATCTAATATCAAGCTTTTGATGCTGACATTGTTCCTCTGAACAGGATCCAAAGACCAATTTAATATTCTTATGGAATTGTGTCACCACATTAGATGAACCTTATTCCCACTGAGCTGCTATTCATTAAAACTATCTCCCTGGCAGCAAGGCTTTCAGAAGGTCTTTTTTCAACGTGGGCGTGGTGTAAACAACAACAACAGAAAATATTTTTCTTGAACGATATATTACACATCCATAAATCAGTACCTTGGTGCCACCTACCACTTGCAGCTAAGGGGAAGGGTGCAAATCCATTTCTAGTATTTGGTTACACTTCTTTGCCACAGGACTGGCAGTTTGTGTGGTGCTGTGGGTGAAATGGGAACCTGTAGGTCTGAATATCCTTGCTGGCTTTGGAGAAAACAGAGCCCACAAAAAGGCTGAGGGTTTCATCACTTTGCAGGGCAGACCCAGAGTTTCTACTCACCTTCTAGTATCTCACCTAATAACTGGGTTTTACTCAGTTGAAGTGTGTTTTGAGAATTACAAACGGAGAGTCTGTGAGCAGAAGGAGCTGCAATAGCCCTGTAAAGCTTGTACATACATTGATTTATCAGCATTAAATACTCTGTTTTGTGACAAAGAACATGGGTAATTTTGAGAATAAATTTTATTCTCAAGTGTAAGTAAACCCACAGAGCAGCTACTCTTTGCTATTAGGAAAGATCTTCTGCTGCATGACTTTTGAAAACCTGTTAGAATACACAAAGCCTGAGGGATGTATTTCAAGAATACCTGATCTTTGTGTCTTACTTCATGCTATTCACTTAGAATCTCTTGGCTCACACGTGGCTTGTGAGGCCCTTTAGTGCTTGAATAAAGGGATGCAATGAAAGAAGACACTCAGAAAATTTGATGCAGTGTGTCACTAATGCCAGAAGAGGGTAGGCCAGTTCAAGGGAAATTTGCTTGACACTTGTGCAGGTGGTAACTGGTTTTGAAAAAATACTTTATACACTGAAGGTCTTTTTATTGCAAGTGTCGGGGTATTTAAATTGTCCCAGTGGCTGTTAGTCCTATTGGTTATTTGTTTATGTTTATTTTTGCTAGTGCATGTTTAAAAGCTCATGTTTTTTTCTCTTCCAGCTCTTATGTTAGGTTTGATATAATTCGAAGGATAATGACGAAGTTTTTTGGAATTGAAGTGATCATGGTGATGGGGATCACAGACATAGATGACAAGATAATAAAAAGATCCAATGAGGTAGGTGTTGGTTGCAGTCTCTGACTCTAACTTTTGGTATTTTCTAAGCTATGTACATAGGAAAATTAACTTGGGTTTGGGGTTCTTTTGTTGAATTATGTTTGTTTTTATTAGCATATAATAGATGTTGAGATTTCTGGTGCCCTAGCATGGCTGTAATGTATCTTATCCTAAAACTTAGCACTCAGGAGGCTTCTGGCTGAATTCTGGAGAAGCACTGTATGCTGTCAATCATTAAAGGAAGTATATAAAGCCACTGCCTGAGGCTGAGGGCAGTTCCTGCAAGGTGCCGAGCACCATCTAGCTGCCATGTCAGCACCTTGGAGAGCTTTATCAGTCTTGTCTGTGTTTGACACCTACAGGAAAGTTAACTGAGTGTAGGGGTAAGTCTTGGTAAGACTGGAGCTGTAAGTAGTTCTGAAATGGATTTTAATCTGACCTTTTGTACCAGCTGAGCTTGGTGAATGATTATTCCAATTCTTTTTTCTTTATTCTTTTAAAAACACTTTTTGAATCCTGAAGTGCTAAGAATGTATTCTGTGTTTTACTCTGTGTTTTGAATATTCTGTTTTCTTTGGTTTTGGAATCTGAGACTCATGTTGTCAGGATGATAAGTGAATGTGTTGGATCAAATTGCACTTGCAACTTCAAGATAAGTTTCTTGGTGCCAGAGAATTTGACTGCTGTCACTTTTATTTAATCTTTAAGTAAACAGTAACTGTAGCAGTTAAGTATAAGGCACTGCATTCAAATAAATACTAGCACACCACTCATATAGAAATATGTGTGTTCTTAGTCTATTTATTTGCAGTTTTCTAAGGCAGTAAACAATTTAAAAACTAACACCCTCCCCCAAAATTCGGGCATTTTAAATCTATATGTGTACATTTTAATTTTTTCCTTGTTGTCAGAACATCTTGGAGATTTTATGTTTGAGGAGGGGGAAGTGACATGTTCTTAAAAGAAGTTGTGTTCATTTATTGCAGTCTTTGGTTCTATAAAGTAATCATTTTGTAGCTTTTTTTGTGACTTTTTGAAATGCCTGCCCATCCATTTTGTTTGGATGGCCAAGGCCTCTACCTCACTAGCCTACTTTTGTTGAAACCTATGTACCTTAAGCATTACAGTGGTAGAATCAACATGCCTAAGCTTGTTCTTCATCCTCTGGTGGGGTTCATCTGGGGGAAATGTGAAAGTTGGGTATCTAGTCTATGATGATCATGCTGCATGCACTCAATGGTCCTTTGAGAGAGAGAGATGACTCTCTCTGTGTGTTGAACATCTGTGTGGATGGGAGGAATTTCCCCATCTTCTTTCTATAGGCACCTTTTTTTCTCTGTTGATCAGAGAAGCAGTTGAGCTGTCTAGGGAGATGAATCCAGACACTGGGGTCTGGAAGAGCACAGGTGTGCTGGTCTGTAAGTGTGTCTTTGTTTTCCAGTGCCGAGCATCTTCCTCATTTCATTGCTGGATAAGCATCTGGACTGTCTTCACCAGAACTCCTGCCTTGTCCAGGAGCTTGTCCAAATGGTGGTAGCCACCTGCGCTCTTAAAATCAGAACCCATAAGGATGCTCCAGTAATGAATTGGAAGTGATGAAATGGGATTTATATTGTTAATGATCCAGTTCAGCTGTAGAGGCTGACAGTATGTTGTCTTCTCCCCAGCAGTTTATTCTCAGAGATGTAAAAGCATGCATTTGAAGCTCTTTGATACCATGCTTTGCTTGCTAGGGCAGGCTTTGCTGTCATGCATCTTTCAATCCCTGGTCTGTTCTGAATATTTGAGAACAAGTACCTTATCATGTACAAGTTTCCTTTCCTTTTGGGTTGCACGTTCTCGCTACCTCTGCAAGAAGATCCTATTTCTGTCCCATGAATGAGAAATGCAGAGAAGGTGCTTGAGAAACATTGGACTTGGCAAAGCGTGGGATTGACTTTCAGTATTGAGATTTATGAGTACCCATGATCTGCTGAAATAGCTTGTTTTTCTTAATCACTGAAAATTAATATCTTGTCTCATTCTGCAAGTCTCTGATCTATCTTTCTGACATATAGGTGGTATCAGTGTTTCCTGCCAGTAAGTTGAATGATTTCCATGTCCTGTGTACTGTAGTATATTTTGGCACTGGAAATGGAAGACCCTCTCAAGAGGAAAATAATGAGATAGGCAAGGAGTTTATTATTTTAGTCTTTGCTTGCTTTTCTCTTAAAAGATATGTATTAATATTTTGGAAATTGAGAAGCGTAAATGAAATGCTACTTTTAAGTTATTTATAACTTACATCTCCTCCCTGTGAATGTTAGATTAATAAGCCTTTCTGACTCTACCTTGGGGGCTCTCTAAGTCTTCCAATTAGCTACTGATAAAAGATTGCCATATTTTATATTATTACTCTGATTTATGACTTACTAATCTACTACTCTCTTTTTCAGATGAATGTATCACCAGTAGCTCTTGCTCGTTTTTATGAAGAAGACTTTAAACAAGATATGGCTGCCTTAAAGGTACAAATACTCAAGAATTTAAAATTAGGAGTTTCTAAGCAATTATTTTGGTAAGGAATCTGATGTTGATAGTCTGACCTGAAAAAATAAATTTGTTGCTTTGGAAACTGATTACTGATTTACTTTTTCGTTTTTCTGGAAAGATACTGTATACTCATTTCCTATAAGGAAATGGGGGAGGAGCAATCCTGAGTTTTGGAATGAATAAGTTAAATTTCTTTAGGAACAATTTTTCCCACATGCAGTAGAGCCTTGGTTCACAGCTATTACAAATTCACTATACTGCTGGAATAGCCTGAATGAAAGCATAGGAAATAACTAATCTTCTTTCACTGACTTCAGGTGACTTTGCTTCTTTTCCAAAATGCTTTCCAGAGACATGGAATAAGCCACTGGGAAAAACTGGGGTTTTTTTTGTCACCCCTCAAATATTTTTTCTGTTTCTGTGGTATTTTTTAAATGCTGCTTATGATCTTTTTTATGCTACTTGCAGCTTTTTTTTTTTTTTAAGATAAAATTGCAGAGAATGTTCTTTGAAGTTTGTTTCTTAGAGTAAAGGGACTCATGAGCATTGTGTTTCATTCAGATTAATGAGATGTTACTCTTTCTTTAAGGTCCTCCCTCCTACAGTATATATGAGGGTGACTGACAATATTCCTCAGATAATTTCCTTTATAAAAACAATAATTGCAAATGGACAAGCTTACACAACCTCGCAAGGTAAGACTTCAAGAAAGGTAACTAACTCCTTGTTCAGCACGTGTACAGGAAGTCATTGCTTTTAGTAGTCCTGTTTTGGAATCAGATGAGATAACCTGTGCCAGGCCTTCCTTCTTTGATTAACAGGCAGGGTGTGACCAACTTGTTTGCGATGACATGAGTGGGCAGAACAACTGTTATTCAGTTTCTAAGTTAAATGTAGATTCTTACTTAATAGAATTGTTTACAGTAACAAACTGCTGTCTGGGCTCCTGTGGGGAAGTCCTGGCCTGGTTTCTATAAGTGAGCTGGGGAAACCTCTTAGCTCTCAACAGGAGCTGTGTATCTCCGATGTGCAGTGAAAGATGCGTTTGTAAAGCACAATGAGTGGACTTTTCTTTAGCCGAGCTGGTGATTGGAGAAGGATTCAAGTGCATTGTAACAGGAGTAGCAGTAACTTGTGCTGCAGGCAAGGAGGGGATTACTAGTTGTGGACGGGCAGGGAAGAACCTGGGGAGATCTCCAGAACTGGAAGTTATTCTGTGTGTAGGATGAGCATGTGCACAGAGATTACTGAAAAGCTAGGTAACATGGAAACATCTGCTGCTACTTTTGCAGTATTTCTGAGTTTCTAAATCAGAATTTAAAATGGGAGTTGAAGGGCATTTTATTTTGATTTCGGGAAATGTTATCTCCTTCTCATCCATGTGCCCCATCTTTGCTATACAATTAAACACTTCTTTTCTATTAGGCAATGTTTATTTTGATGTTAAGTCCTGGGGAAAAAGATATGGAGTATTAACTGCTATTAATCCTGATACCCATGATGAAGCAGGTGAGTTCATGGCACCAATTTGTTTGTGTTAATGCATTGTTTGAACTTGTTTGTGTGTCTGTGAGTAAACTTTCATTCAACAGGCTGAAACAGTTTTCTATCCTGTTGTGTATAGCTAACTTTCTGGTTAATTAATACTGCACTGCTTTTGTTATTATTTTTTGAGGTGCTCACTGTTGCCAGAGCAAGAGGAAACTTCGTCTCTTTTCATCCTTGGTTCCCTCTATACCTATGTTCTGGTACCTTAGAACAATTAGTATTCTTAATCAATTTTAGTTAAATATTTGGCAGTGGTATATAGAAGCTTCACAGTGAGGTGGTGTTCTTGCTGGTGCAGTAGCCAGTCAAGGGTAAACACGGGGAAACCTCATCTACCATGTTATTGTTGAGGCAGTTGCACAGGCAGTTGCACCTCTGATGAAGGCTAACTGGATGAATTGCTTCCTTCTTTACTTGTCACTGGACTACTGCTAAGCAGCCCCTTTGTGTGAGGATGAGCAATCTCCTGATAAGCTGTGCTAGAGCAGGCCTATACCCTGGGCTGTGAGGTTTTTGCTGCAGGTCCTGCTCTGCAGGATTGCTGAGCCTCCTTGTGGTTTCTGTAAGTTGGGTCTCATCAGGTCTCTGCATTGGAGAAGTTGATGCAGGCATCCTGCATCCTTTTGCACACTGAAGTTCAGTATTTCATCACTTAAAAAAACTCTGCAATTACTGAAAATTCCTGACAGGCTGATGCTCAGGTGAATTGCAGCCAGAACGTCTCACGGTTCTGCTCCGGAGTTGTTTCAGCATTACAGTTCACAGAGGGAATGCATTTTGTCAACAGTTATTTAGAGGCAATTACTGCCTGCAGAGGCAGCCAACAGCCTCCTGGGCTGCACAGGGAAGAGCTTTGCCAGCAGGTCAGTGGAGGTGATCCTTCTCTGCTCAGCCAGCGCTAGTGGGACATGCCTGGGGTACAGTTCTGTTGCTGGGCTACCCGGTACAAGAGTGACATGGACATAATGGAGAAAGGCCAGCAAAGGACCACAAATATGATAAAAGTACTGGAGTATCTTTCATAAGAGGAGAAGCAGAGAGAGCTTGGACTGCTCAACCTGGAGAAGAGAATGCTCGGGTGAATCTTACCCATGGAGGGAGTATACCTGATGGAGGGAGTAAAGCAGATGGAGCCAGGCTTTTCTCAGTGGAGCTTGGTGATGGAACATGAGGCAGTAGGCACAACCTGAAACACAGGAAATTCCATTTAAAACTAAGAAAAATCCTTGTTACTCTGAGGATGGTTGATATAAACCATACTGCTCAGTGAGGCTGTGGAGTCTCCATTCTTGGTGATAACCAAAACCCAACTGGACACCATCTTGGTGAGCCTGCTGTAGCTGATCCTGCTCTGAGCAGGGGTTTGGATTAGTCTGTTTCCAGATGTGCCTTCCAGCCTCAACTGTGACTGATTATGTGTTTTACTCTAAAGTCACAACTAAATGTACTGATATTTCTAAAGATTTTGGCAGTTGTTTTGCTTACAACTGAGAAGTTGAACAGTGCTCTTTTGTAGCAGTGCACTCAAAAAAAGGTGAAAGAGGGATGGAGTCAATACATAGTGGTCAGCCAGAGCCTGGCAAACTAGTGGAAGAGCCAAGATAAAGATTCAGTTGATAAAACTAGGGTTATATTTCTGTCCCTTTAGTTCTTATGAATTTTGAATTCTGTGATTCCATATGTGAGGTCATGTTAGAAAAAAAACGTGGAGTCCAGAAAGATGCAGTTCTGTAGCTCCTACCAGGGAGTGGTGTGTAGTCAACAGGGGGTTAGGAGCCAGCAGAGGTGAACAATCCTGCAGTAATCTGGCAAAAACAACTACATCCTTTCCTTGGCTGTGTAGTGAGGGAAGCAACAAATATAGCTGGGGAGGAGGCCTTTGTAGAGAACTCATTGGTGAAAAAGGTAGTGAAAAGTTGCTACTGTCCAAGAATAGTTTTGATTCTCATCTCTGTGCACTTGGTTTTATAGAATCTGAAACAGAAAGTACTTGTGTCCCAGGGAAAAAAACAAAAAAGTGTGGGGTTTTTTGTTAATTTGTGTGTTTTGGTTTGGTTTTGTTACCTTTTCTGTTGCAGTGCAGTTTGTCTGGGGAGGCTGGCTAATAAGTAACTAAATGAATGATACAAGTAACCAGGGAAGGCCAAAAGGACAGAAAGGATAGGATGTACTAAGGAATCTTGAGCCATCTTTTTAGCTTGTAAAAACCTATTTCAATATTCTGGTTTTTTCAAATGCTTCATTGGTCAACTGGAAGGGAGGGAAGTTGCAGTGAAAAGAAATAGGTTGATTGAAGAGGATTAAAATCTTAGTAGTTCACTAAACACACATTTCCTCTTGCTTTCATTTGGTCATTTTTTTTCTTTGAGACATATCCCATTAACAAATCACTTCTTTTTGGCAGTTGAATCTGATAAACGACACGGTAAAGATTTTGCCCTGTGGAAGGCTGCCAAGCCTCAAGAGCTATCTTGGGATTCTCCCTGGGGAAAAGGAAGACCTGGATGGCACATTGAGTGTTCCACAATATCAAGGTCAGATTTCTTGGACTTTAAATCAAGTGCTGTTTTTTGTTTTCAGTCACAGTACAATGGTAGCAGCAGTATTGAAAGGGTTTTCTGATCACTAAATAGCACTGGTTTTAGTGTGACCATTTAATGCAATTTGGGATGTCACATGTGGCCCAAATAAACTGCACTTCAACTTTATCACAGCTGTCTTGATAAGTTTTGGCACTTTGTCTTGAGTCAAACTTGGTACAGGATCACACAGTTGATTAGCAAGTCTATTAACTTGAACTGAATAACCAAAGATTTTGTGAAAGTTGTGGTACTTCTTTGATTTGCTTTCCTTCCCCTTCTAGCAGTCTCCATCAGACCTAGTTCAGCATGTAGTGCTGTGTCAGGAGGACAGGGCATGGGATTCCATCCTAGCTCCAGATCCTGCTGGCCTTGTCTTAACAGCAGTTGTGGATGTTCATGTGAATAATCTTAAGTGGCTTTCATCTTCCTTTAAAAGTCAGCCACAATGTCAAATACTCTGTGACAGTATATTCTGTTGGCACTATGTAAATTGTACTTAGTAGTGTTTTGCTTGTAGCTGGTTTAATGTAATTAGCTCTTAATTTAGAGTTTTATTTTTGCCACAGGAGAAAAAAATCTTCTCTCTTGGAAGATTGATAGTGGTACTTAGTTTTTCCTTAGTCTCAGATTTTTTTTTGGAAGCTAATAACAAATTGCTTAGTTCTGACCCTGCATAGTTTTAAGTTTTTGACCAAGGCTGAAAGGACATGGAACCAGCTGCTTTAGGTTCCCTCTTTCATATGCTTTGCTGGAGCACCTGGGATTGTTAGTCATTACGACCTGCTTACAAAAAGCATTTATAAGGGTGATTTTCTGTCCGTAAATAGTTTCAGTATAGAGAAGCAGTTCTTAAAGCAACTGAAGTGCACAAAATCATCTTGTGTTTGAAGTACAACCTGTGACAGAAGTGCACAGATAAGAAATGCCAATTACAAAATGGCCTGTCCACTAATGCAGTGCTGTTTGTAGTCTGCATTTCTTTCTGTAAAAATATATTTTACTGCAGCTGTATGAGGTTCCTGCCATGTAAATAAAAGCTGACCCATGCAGAGCATAAATGTAGTAATCTTGGACTGTGAAAAATGGAGAGCTTATTTTGCTAAGGCACTGAAAATATTTTGCTGTCCCAGTCAGCTGTCCAAGGCCCATTTTAAGCAATACTTACTTAGCTGTGTGTTTTGCCAGATATCTCAAAGCACTTTAACTAAGCTAGGTGAATTAATTTTGAAAAGTCTGTGAAGGTGAATGAGGAGGTCTCTGGGCTATGGTGCAGCCCTGGAGGAGGGAACCTGCTGCTGTGACGCTCTCAGGTCTGATCTCCTCTCTGCAGTTTCCCTTGTGAGGTGGGCTGTTCCTCCTGCCCCTGAGCATTTGGCAGATCCATCTCTCCCTCTCTCCAGCTCCTCATGGTTTCGTTGGAGGAAACAGCAAGTGCTCCTCTGTAGATGGCACAAGGGAAGGCGAGGGCCAGTTCTAGAAAGATCTGTATGTTAGCCAGTTTTGAAGCAGACAGGAAGCAGAAGGGGATAAGCTTGGGAGATGGTGTCAGCCCATCTTCCCGCCTGCCTACCTGCCTTCCTGCCTTCCCCTCTTCTCCTTCTCTTTTCCTCCTGTGCCCCAGCAGCTTCTGTAGAGCCATTATGAGCCGCAGTGTTACCAGGGTGTTTTGTCTCAAAAAGGGACAAAACTACTAATGTTTAGCCAGCAGCCAGGAGCAACTTGTTAAGGTGAAGGCTGTGTGTGTCTGTGTGCACACATGTGCACGTGGGGGGGACGCTTGCCTTTATTTTCTATTTGTGTAGGCTTTGCATTTTCCCCTGCTTGAGCACCTCTGGTTTCTGGCAGTTAGGGTTGATTTACATCCCTGTGAGTAGGTGAGTGTTGTCTTTGTTCAACAGATGGGCAAAATAAAGTTGTTAACTTGCCCAGCATGACCTGGCAGGGACTGCCTGGAGCAGTGGGCAGAGTGTAGCAGCCTTGACACTCCTGGTGTTTAACCTGCAAGTGTCTAAGGCTATCCTGTTTTAGCCACACAAATACCTTACTGCCAGCCACCAGTGTTTGCAGAGAGGCCTGTGCCATGGCAAGCCCGTGGGTGCCCCACACAGATCCAGCAGCACTGCTGGGATGTGAGAAATGGCCCTGGGAGATGAGAGGCACTGACACTTTGTTTTGACATTAGAACAATATAGGGCTGAGCATTTTCATCGTGACTGCACACAGTACTGTCTGAATTCTTACAGAAAAGGTACAAGATAAGGAATAGTAATACCAAATTTACAGAAATGTTCACTGCTTCAAAGCTGTTAGGTTTGCATGTGAAGGCACCTGTCTGATACTGAAACTGTAGCAGAACAAGGAAGGGGGGCATCCTGCTTGCCATCCTTTAAACTAAGATAGAATAATAATTGCTTCTGCTAAGGAGGAGTAATTGTGGCCAGATATGGGTCCTGTCCATACAAGTTTGGCTGCAGTTTTGGTATCCAAGATGTGCATAAAGTCTTGTTTTAAAACTGCACCTATTAAACTGTACACTTTAAATTTATTTATGTTGTTTCATCTTATTCTTTTCTGCATTTCTTTTTACAAAAAGCTTTTGTAGTGTTCTACTTACCGATCAGGACAATATTGTTACAGTGCAGTGTTTGGAAAGCAGCTGGACATCCATACTGGTGGAATAGATCTTGCATTTCCTCACCACGAAAATGAAATTGCACAGTGTGAGGTGTATCATCAGTGTGAGCAATGGGGGAATTACTTTTTGCATTCTGGTAAGTAAAATATTAATCACCTGAAAGGCCTGTACAAATATAATGGTTTGGTTTTTTAGGTTTGGCGTTTTATGGTATGAAAACAGATGCTCTACTACAGTGACCTCACTAAGTAAAGAAACATGTGAATCTTGAAACTTAATAAAAGAGTTGCAGTGAAATATACATGATTTTCATCTGGCAAAGTCTCTAAAAAGTAACAGTACATGCAATACCCATGTACAGTGTTTACTCCTAATTAAAAGAGCTTTTTCCTGTAGAGTTTCATTCCCTTTCATTTGAGTTTCCTCAAAATTTGAGAGTATTCTTCGATAAGCTTCCTTTTTTAATTGTATTTTGGCTATAACAGTCCTGCAGAACTGTTACAAAACAGTTCTGTAGGAGGAGGGTGAAAATAGTTTATATTTTCTATATGTGTTCATGTAGTCTTCCTAAAACCAGAAATTCCTGCTGTCTTAGAACCAGAACCTGCAGTATCTGAAGGCAGGGAGTGGAGGTGGCAGGTGAGCAGGTAGCCCAGTGTAACATTTTAAAACCATTGAGAAAAGAATAAACTAGTCTTGTTCTCACAACATCTCTCAGCTGATTGTGGGCTTAAAAGTAAGTTTTCAGTAGCATGCAGAATAAAATAAATGAGTTTGTAAATACGGTGAAAGGCTTTTAATGATGATAAGAGAAAATATCTGTACTACTGGAAAACAAGAATGGAGAGAATGCTAAGATACATCAACTGATAAAGCAGCAAAGCTCACGAGGTTGTGATCCTGCAGAGAAGTGTCTGAGCTGGGATGTTTTGTATGGTCTGAAATGTGGGTGAAGCCTCGCAGGCAGATATTCTGCTGCAGCAGCCAACCACTGTTCTGGGTGTGCAATTCACGTACCTGAAACTATTTACATTCTTCTGGGAAGCTTTATTTTATCCACCAGTAGCATTACACCTAGGGATGAGTATTAGAAACAAGATTCATGCTGAAGACCAAGTGATGCTTTGGTCTGTGCTGGTGATGAATGGTCAGTGAGGCTGCTGATGGGTGGAGACAAGGAGGTCTGTGACACCTCTGGGTTGCATAAAGACCGAGCTGCTCACTCCTGGGTTCTGTAGAAAAGTGGAGACATGGAATCTCATCACTGAGATCCCTTGTCCCTCTGTAGTGCCCTGACCAACTGCAGTGTCTCTCTGCTTTTCTGTGGAGTGTGGGTGACTTGGTATTGGTGTAGCCCTCAGATGTCACTGACCTTGTCTTTTCCCCCAAGGTGACCTTGCTGGCTTTGCCTGACTAAAGTGTACAAAACTGTCTTTTGGTGTTCAGCATGTCTTACTACCTGGCATTGTGTAGAATTGCTTCTTGCTACCTTTGCACAACAGTGCTTCATTCGGTGCAGTTTGTGCTGTACAGTACTTTGAACTACACTGTGGTCTGATGGTACTAGTGCTGATGGAAACCTGGAAATTTGTTCTTTCTGTGGCAGTCATGGTGGTTCTGGATGGACAGCTGAAGTCAGTAGAAGGTCAGGTTTAAGTCTGCAGTCTCTCTTTCTGCTGAACAGTACTTTGGGCAAGATGTCTCTGTGAGCTCTTGGAGCTGCTTCACTGAGTAGAAGAGCTGCAGAGTTAAGCCTGTGGCACACTGTGGGAATTACATGAGCCTTCATTTTTATATATTTGTACTGTATGGGATGAATATTGAATTCTAGTTTCAGTTCCCAGTGTAGAGCCTGTTGTAAATCAATAGCAATTGTCCAGAGGCTGATGCATCCCTTCAGGGTGTGCTTTGTTCCCGAGGCATGTGGAATCCTCTGCACTTCCACTGAGATGCATTGGTTGCTGCCAAGGGGAGCCTTCTGTTGAAAAACAGTGAATCTGACTTTTCAAGCTTGGAATTGAAACTATAGGGGAAATACTCTTTGCTACTAGCTAAATAAAGAGAAGTCAATTAAAAAAAAAAAAAAAAAAGAGGGAGAACTTAATTCCAAGGGCAGTTTGTACACTGAGGTTCTTTAGGACCTGACAGGTTACATTCATTAAATCAAAAAATTTTGCTGGAGGATGACAGCGTGAATTATTTAGGGCAGATGAATCAGCTGCAGAAACAATTTATTCTGCTAACAGACTTCAGAATTTTGCAGGCTCAGAATTGGAGGAGCAATCCCCATTAGAAGAAGAAAATCCCTCCACTGTGGATAAATCTTCTTATAAGGACTTTAATTTTAGACTACTTGTACTCTGGGAAGACTGCCAAACTGAAGTTATGAAAATCCTTGTATTTTGTTATTCCTGAATGAAGTCATTCTAGGTACTGAAACTCTTGGAAGTGGAATATTAATTCAAATTCAGATGTTACCTGTACCTTTTTAGGAAAGCACAAGCTATTTTAAGCTTGGTTGCCCAAAGTTAAGTAAGTCAATATTTTAGGCACCTGTTCAAAAGGAAAAAATTAATCATACCCAGGCTCTTCCCGTTCTTCCAGGAGAATTTTGGCTGTGGGTTTTACTTGAGTTGCAAGAGCTGCAGATGTCTAATGTCTTCTTATTGAGTGTCCTGAGTTTAACGATGAAAGTGGTGAAAGTGGTCTCACCTGGTGGCAGACAGGACAAATACAGAGAAAGGAAGATTTTGGGTTGGATTCATTGATCCATGGAAATCATGGATTTCTGCTGTAGCTGGTTCCACACTTGTAGGTCTTTTGATTCTTTTCTACTTTCCCTAGTGTGTTGTCAAGCTTAAAATTCCAGGTAGTCGGGGTAGGACTGGAGGTAGCTGTTTTATGGGGAGTCCCTCCTGCTTTGAATCATTGTTAGAAATGGCTAAGAAGTGAAACCAGGTGCTTTTGACGTCCATTTACCAGGCCTGAGTGTGTTGCTTTTGTATCCAGAAGAGTGTAATGAGGTTTTTATCCACTTGTGGAAGTGAGGGCGTTCCAAACAAGGCTGCAAAAGCATCTCTGTGTGGAGAGTAGCAAAAAATTCAGACAGCTGCATGGGCTGCTGAGCAAGAAATGCCACTTCTGCCACCACCTGTAAAAGCAGGAGCATGATTATACATTGTCCTTGCAGAGCACTCAGGCATTGGTAACGCTGGGCTGCCAAATCTGAAAGGATGTAGAGTGCTGGTGGGGTATTACAGAGCAAGGAAAGTTCATGCTTAAAAATCTGCCTCTATGTATGACTAAGTGCTGGATTCTGCAGATCACGGAAGTGCCTAAAAACTGCATGCTAGTTGTGGGTGCTTGGTAGCTTACAGAATTACTTTATTGTTAGGAGAGACCAATTAAGGCTTTTAACAACATTTCTGAGCAGTCATTCAGTGGCAGCATGTTCAGCATCTCTCCAGTGCTGTGAATAATTCGTGCTTTCCATCAGCAGTGGTGCCGGGGCAAGCATGGATGAGACCTAGAAATGGGCAACCTCAGGCTATACTTCTCCTGTCTTGCTTTGATAGAACCTTCAATCTGAGAGCCAAGCTCTACATACTCTCTTAAATGCAGTGTTACTACCTTTTTCCGGTACTACAGGGCTGCAAAGCCATAGTCCATGTGACTATTTAAAGTGGTAGGATGCTCAGAGATCGCATTTTAAAATAAACTCAATTAGGCATTCAAAGTCAAATTAGGCATTTTAGCTGCATCCCTCCCTCCTACTGCTTTTTCTCAGTCTCCCAAGAGTGGAGAAGTAGAGAATGTGCAGATAATTAATTTTACATGTTTTGAACTATAAAACTTTGCACTATAAAACTTTGGATTAAAAAAAATATTGTTAACAGCTACCAGCAAGTAATAAGTACAGAAAATTGTTTGAGTTTCAGGGATTTTTTTTAATATGAAATCACATCAAAATCTCTAAAGGTCTTAACTATTTCTGAGGAGTCAAGAGTAACAGGTAAGGTACTTGTTCTGTGAGGATTGTTTGCTTGGGTTTATCATTTTGCTATCAATTCTGAGCAGGGAGACTCGTGGTGGTGAGTTTTTTTAATGTTTTAAATTTCTGTTTTAAAATTGACGCAGAGGAAGTTGAGGATGGAGAGGTGTGCAGGACTGTAGACAAAGCTGTTGAAAAGTGTGACACACTGCATTGAAATGGCTGGCATGTTTCCTCACAGCATATGCTGCCTCCAGCGTTTCCAGGGTCTTGGTGCAGTCTTTCTCATTCGCTCCCCATTCAGAAGCACGCTTACTTATCCTGATTAATCTCTTTTTTTTTGTTTTGTTTTGTTTTGTTTTGTTTTAGGGCATTTGCATGTTAAAGGAAGTCAAGAAAAAATGTCGAAGTCATTGAAAAACTACATAACAATTAAGGTAATCTCTTCCTATTAATTGAAGCAAAGTATGTTTGTAATATGTAAATATTCATCACAGCCCTCTTTTGAGAAAATGTTGGAGTGTGTGCTTATGCTGCAGCAAAAGACCTGAAAGTGTTTCTCCAGCACTGATCTGTCTGTTATTGTGGATCTGGATGTAGGATGGCACTCAAGGTTTGCTTGGAACAATGGATCTTGCTGAGCTGCGAGCATTTGTGCCCAATACCAGAGTCCTGCAATTATAGGTTTGCGGTTGGATTCGATGGTTACGAGGGTCTTTTCCAACCTGAATGATTCTGTTCTGTAGTGATGGGTTCTCACCTGTCTGCTTTTATTAGTGCTTGTGCTTTTGGGACTTAGAAAAGAGCAGACGTTTTTCCTCGTCCTGCTATAGGTGAAGTGAGGCATAATGTCAGTGTTTTGTCAGGAAGCTGTTAGGCCATGCTATGCCAGCGGTCTCTTGTATTAGCCTTTATTTTTATGTCACAAGCTTTGTCTTTTGATACCCACAAGCCACTGTTTTACTGTGTCCCAAATTCTGGTGCAGCCCAGAGCAGGGATTCTTTGCCAGATGTGTGTGATACAGCTGTGCTTGGCGCTGCTGTGGCTCCCATGATGGCTGATTCATATTGCTAGAACAGGGTAATTTCCTTCCTTTAGACAAAGCTTAGGAAGCTGCTTCAGCACATATGTTCCCCTTTGCCCTCTTGGAAGACTTAATTAAAATCCCTTTAAAAGAAGTTCAATATGAGCTGCTTTATTTTTAAGTCTTCTGATGCTGTCTGGGTACAGTTAAGCCCTGTTTCCCCACAGCTCACAATTTTCACAGAAATCTCATGAGTCTCAGCAGATGTTGTGGACAGAGTGGAGAAATGACCACAAATGCAGTGCATGAAGTTAAAATACACGTACAAAAATGTTCCTTTCCATGTCCCCCATGGTGGGACTTGTGTTGAGATAACAAAGACTTCAGCCCAGTCTCTCTTTCCTTGTGGGTCTCTACTTTTCACGTGTGCCTTTACACATGGCTGACAGGTATTAATCCTTCCCAGTAAGTGATTTTCAGTCCAGTGAAACATTTTTTTTTTTTCCTATATAGCTGCCTTGCACTTTGAAAGTTAAGCCCTACAGGAAGTTTTTATCCCGGTGCCAAAAGAGAGTAGGTCTGTCCAGGACAGACCTTTGGCCCACCTGCACCCCAGGCTGTCACCTGGGCACAGGAGCCCTACGTCCCTTAGATCCAGCTGCCCTGTTTTCCCTCCCTTCCTCATACCCTACTCCAATTTTTTCTTTTGCTTTTTTTAATAACTATAAATTCTGACCCCCAAAATCAAACAGATTGTGGTAACACAGGGCTAAGCAACCTGCTTTCCAAGAGCTGTGATACTTTCTCTGTTTTTAATGAAATGCAGAATTGTTTTTTCCAGTTTGGATGGTCCTTTCCCAAATTTGAATTTATGTCCATACTTTACTCATGTTCTACCTCTATATATTAGTGTAAAGCTTCTGGGCACATTGGATATACTCATTTATATAGAGTTTATTTAAAAAACCCACAACAAACAAACAAACAAACAAACACCCACCAAAACCATCAGAATCACTATTTCTTGATTTTGACTGCCTCAGTTATTTCTATTTGTGCTTGAGAGGCATCACATTGCTGATGCTGTGCTACCTTTAGTGTTCAGGCTGGTTTACTCTGGTAGCAGAAGCCTTATTTCAAAATATGAAATTTAAGCAAACAACACTTTCCATATTTTCTCACTTGTACTGACTTCTTATGATTTTTGATTTTCATGGCACTTTAGTGATCACCACCAGATTGCAAATTAGAAAAAAAAAAAAAGGCAGTGGGAATGCAGTATTCATAGTCAATCGCCACAGTGTCCAGCCTTGCAGGGTTAGAAGTGATGGAATGTTTTGTCAGTGTACCTTCCAAACATTTAAATAGTTCTTTATACTATTAATGTAAATTAATTAAAGCAGTAGTAATAGTAATAATTTCCTATTACTGGAGTAAATTATTTGTGAAGCTAGATAAATATTAGAGTGAAATTAATTAGGCTTCATAATTAATACAGATTTTTTTTTATATATTGCTAAGATTTATCTTTGCTCACTCCATGTTTTCCTTCATATTCTAGTCCTGCAGAAAAAGTACACTTGTTTGCTTTTTTAAGAAATCTTTTTTTTTTCTTCAAAAAGTTTGCAAAACTCAGGAGCTTTCCTTACCTGTAAGATTGTATTCCAGTTTTAGTCTGATAATTTCACTTCGGGTTTCTTTGCAAAAAAATTACAGTGTATTTTTGATTGTAATTACAAAGTAGTTTTCACTGTCTTACATTAGACATTGTGTGTATATTTATATTGTACCTAAATGTATGCAGATCTATCTTAAATGTAATTAGATTTTATTTAGTTTAGGCTTTAAACCAGTGTTAGAATTTAAAAATTTTTGCCTATCTTAAACTGCAAAGTTATGTTACTGTTTGTGTTAGTTTGTCTGAAATATGCTGTGAAACTAAAGTAAGGGGGTGGAATGGCTCCTGAAGAAATTGAATAATGCTAAAGCTGTCTTTTTGTGCATGGAGTTTAGGATTTCCTGAAGAAATTTTCGTCAGATCAGTTCAGGATGTTTTGTTTGCGTGGCAGATACAGCTCAGGTAAGGACAAAGCCCCATCTTTGCTGAGGTGGTGTTGTTCCTGGCCTTCCACACAGGCTTTCCAAGCTGGTGATGCGGAGGTGGAGTGAGCTCTCCCTGTGGGGCCTTGCAGTTCCCTTTCAGTGGGTGGGAAGGTTTTGGTGGTGCTCTGTGGGGCTGCTCTTTGGCTCGCATTTAGAAGAGCATCTTTCCTGAGCACAGTACAGAACGTAACCATTCATCTAAATACCTTCTTGAGCTGCACTTAATTGTGACTCTCAGTTAATTGCACTTTCAGCTAATGAATTACCTCAGTCTCTGATTTGCATCTGCTTCAGTTACTTGTATTTCAGTCACGATCAGCTGCTTTTGGAGACATATCTAGGTGGAGCTTTGCCTTACATTCCCGTAGGGTATGATGAGGGCTCGCTAATAACTTTTTATCTCCCTGCTGTGTTCTCATTTTTTGTCCTGTGGAGTTACTGAGTATTCAGGCAGTTCTGTGGTGCAGTGCAGCTCGCTTACACCAGCACTTGGCAACCTAATGATCAGCTTAACCTGGCAGACCCTGCTGATGGGGAGAAGTGTGGGAGATTTTGTCAGCTTCCTTATCTACCCTATGGTGCTTCCAGCAGGTAGATGATACTTTGAACTGGAAGAGGTTTTCACATGAGTAGTGGTTTTACCAGTTTATTGGGGCCTGCCAAAAGCAGATGGTAGTGTCCTCACCCCTGGCATGGCAAGGGAATGATGGGACACGGGTGTGGATAAGGCTCTGGGGCTTTGCTAGTGTCCATCAGTGTGCTGCAGGCCTTTACAGATGTGGAGTCATTGGACTGAGAAGTTTTTTGCTTGTAATACCTCTATCTGCTTGCAGGAGGCACCTATCTGATATTCCTGGTCGAGCCTCCCTCTCCTAGGACAGCTACAGGCATGAGGAGTGCCCTGGATCCCTGAAATATATCAAAGCATGGGATAGTAAAGTGAGAGGTGGTTATTAACTTCTGACTTCCACCGTGGTAGGAGGGGAGGAGTGCATGCAGTTGGGAGGCCTGCTGCAAAACAACATCCCCTTTGGGGGCAGGCACTGGGTTGGTGCTGTGCCTGGCTGTTTTGGGAAGATGATGCAGGGCAGTGGCACCCCTGGCTGTTTTCTCTGGGTCTCTGTCAGGAGCTGAAATAAGCCATGGACACATAAAAATAGTTCCCTGGCTGTAGCTGGAGGCACTTGGGAGTCTTGAACAAATTGTGTGTTTAAAACAAAAGAAGGGAAAAGGATAACATCTACTACACTATCAGATCTATGTATGTCATGTAAACAAGGGAGAGTTAAATGTCTGTTAATTCCTAAGCTTGCCTCAGGGCAGGGAATGTCGCTGGAGCCCTCCAGGGCGGGCTGCCTGCAGGCCTTCTCCACTGCATGTCAGCTGGCTGCATTTGAACCTCTTTGAGAAGGAGGTGACCCTTTTCTTGCATTAACTCTAGGTTAAACACCTTTCTGTCATAAAAAAGGAGGGCTACCTGTGTAGATAGAAGTGGCTTTGATGAAAGGATACAGTGGTGTTTTATCAGAGTGTAGTGCCAGTAAGTCTATTGGCTGGTGAGGGTTACTTGGAAGTCTGATGCGCTTGCACCTCCACCTTACGAGGCTTTGTGTGTTATTACTGCCCAGTAAAGAGCCACAGTCAGGCCCTGCTGAGCCTGTATTTACTGTGCTGCCTGTCAGTTTGTGTCCCTGCTGCTAATTCACTTTGGTCTAAAGATAAGTTTACTGCTCTCCTGCTCATCTTGCTGTCTGCTCCTAAGTGTTTTTATTAGAAGAGAGATCCCAAGCACCTTCTGTTTGTTTCTTAAAAGGTTTTTATAACCTAAACCTGTCAGCGATGGTTCCTGCCACCCCTGCCTGTTAAGGAAAGCGTTTTGTAAAATGCAGTTTTGGGGGATCAGGTGGTGCTGCCACACTTGTTGGATTGAACATGTAAAAGATTTTTGTAGGCTTTTGGGGAAGAGGAGAAAAGACAAAGAGAAGAGACTTTGATGGAGGACATCACCCTTCCACAGTGTGTTTCTGCTGGGGGTCCCTGTGCTCCCTTCACCCTTTTTCAGGCTGGTGGGGCAGAGCTGCTCAGCATGAAGCTGAGCTTTGGGGGCACTGGTGATTATCTTGGGCTTTTGCTTTGGCTGATGCTTCTGGCTGTTCCCTTCTAGGCCTGAATCACCACCCTTTAACACATCTGAAAGAAAAGATTGTTCCTAGGTACCATAGGCAGTAGCAAAGTGAAACACTCCACCAATGTGCCTGCCAGGTGCTTCTGGGTACAGCTTAAAAGGGGAGGTGCCATCTCTGAAGCCCTGTGGGACTCCATTGTGAGGCAGTGCTTTTCCTCTTGCATCTCATCAGCAGTGGCTTCACTTTATGCATTGATGTGGAGGGGCTGTGAGCCTGCTGCAGGCAGTGGGGTTCTAGCTCCGGAATGCTCTCCTGGTCACCAGAAATCTCTGGTGATTTTGTGGACCTGAGTGAACTGCAATGTTTTGACCCCTCTGGTCTGTAATTACTCGTTGATGCTAATAAACATAGGTTTTTTTTACTTGGATGATGCAGTGATGATGCCCTCAGTGGCAAAGGAGGGAAGGAGTAGGGACTGTGGTGAAAGTCTATAGAACTGGCCTTTCCCCTGCTGTGCTGAGGGTCTGCAGTGTCTGCAGGTGGTGGTTTAGGAGAATGCCCTGAATCGGGGATGAAGAATGGCTTTAATGAAAGCAGGCTTCATCAGGATAAACTTGCATCAGGTATTCCTTGCAGAGTTCCTGTAACCAGGGTAATCACTTGAGTAATCCTAGAGTATATAAATGATCTCTCTCAATATCTCACTGTTTTCTAGAAGCCTGTACATTGGTCTTTTTAAAAACTGAGTAAAGCTTAATTTTAAAATCAGTAATAGGTTAATAAGGCAGTAATGCAGATTTTTAATTACACACAAGTGAAAAATCTGACAAATTCATGCCTTAGTTATACTGGGGTAAACCCTAGGGAGAGTGGTTTTAACAGCTGAGCTTCCTTGGAATTTGGGCTAACTGAACTGAGATCAGGTCTCACATCCAGCTGCTCCTGCCCTGTTAAATCTGTCCCCTTGCTAAGACTATCTGCCCTAAAGTGTCTGGGCAGCGTTGGGTGACTGCACAAAGCAGTTGACTGTAGGGTGAGCTGAGGTGAGATTGCTGTGGGTGATGCTCAGTGCTGATGAGATTAGAAATATGCTGCAAGATGTAGTTTGGACATGCTTATTGCAGAGGTCCGGTATGAAATGTTGAAGCAGTATGGCATTGGCAACATATGGCTCTGATGTGATATTGTGGAAAGGAATTAATTTAAATTTAGTCTTGTCCTAGGTGGACACAGCTTCCACCACAGTCATGGGAACTCTCTTGTGTGGGGTCCAAGAGCTCTTCTATAGAAAACTGCACATTACTGTACAAATTTAAAAAAACCCTCCAGCTGATAGCAACTCACAGTAGAAATGAAAGGGAGCCAGTCTAGCACCTGCACTTCTGGGGGTGCAGGCAGGCAGAGAGGAGCCTGCTGAACTCATAGCCAGCAGGAGTGGACACTGGTTGTTCCAAAGTGGAATTGTCTGCTGAAGCTAGAGTTCAGCTGAATGCAGCGTAGGGGTTGTCGGTGTGCATGGATGCACACCATGGATGCACTAACCTGGTTAGTGGGGTGGCTGATGTTGTTTTTCCGGTTGGAGGAAGACCAGCACTGTAGGGTTAGGGTGCAGCAGATCTCATCATAAAGCAGAGCTTTGCTTGGGATGAAATGAATCATTTACTTTATGGTTTTATCTTTCCTTCCAGTGACTTTAAGGGGTGTGATGAATCCCATCCCAGACATGCCTTTATAAGTTTCAGCAATTTGTATTTTCTCTAGTAGTTGCTTTTTCAAACTGGTATGGTCAGTTTAGCTTTGATATTGTGAGGGAATTGTATATCTAGTGAAGAAGCTAGGCCACAAAATTTAAGGTCCGTCTAGATTTTAGATGTTGGTGAAGCAGCCCTTTAACTCTTAAAGGTTAAACCTGGATTCCTCATAGATTCAGTAGTGAGGGTTAGGCCTCTTTGGAGGTCTGCAAATACAGATTATGTCTACCTAAATTAGGAACAAAATTAAGAGGTATGTACTTCCAGTTTAAATCTAGGGAAATGCTTAGAAATATATTAAATCCTAAAGCTTTGGATTAATAACTTTGCAGAGAGATTGAATAATGGGGAAAAAATTTAAAGTCGAACAGTGGTTGCTTCACTAAACTTCCAAATTCATTTTTTGAGTCAGTCTGATACTTTTCCCATTGGTAATACTTTGTCATAAGTGGTGATTGTTTTTATATTGATTTAATTCTCCTAGTGTCCATGAAGAATGTGCAATTAATGGTAAGAAAAGTTTGCTATACAAATAATAACAAACTTTTCCTTCATCTCAAAATACTGTTCCTATGTACGACATACAACATTATCTTCATCATAATGCCTTAATTTCTTTTTTTCTTAGCAGTAGAATTCAGTGACAAGAGCATGGATGATGCAAAGAACCTTCTTCAGGCAACCTCCTCATTTATTACAGATGCAAATGCATATATAAAAGGACAGCTGGTGTGTGACCCTATTAGAGAAGACATACTGTGGGAACGGTAAGTGCACCTCCTGTATCTTAAAGGTTGGGATTATTTGAGCAGTACTCTGCTGACAGGCTCAGAGGGCTGACCAGTGTTCTGTTTAAGAAGCAGGACAAGAAGGACTAGGCAGCAATCTTCCTTTCCAGCCCTCACCAAGGGCAGCTTTTTTTTCTTCTCTGTCTAGCCAGCTGCTTTTCATTATAGTCCACTACACTTAGTTTATTGTGTTTTTAAAATCTGTGTTATTTATCTCGTGTGCCTGTCCTAATACAGGCATCTTTGCCCTTCTTGAGTGATGCAGAAGGCAAAGCTATGGCAGTTGTGAGGGTACCCAGCTCATAAGGAGAGCTCAGTGCATTAGTGACTGGAGGAGAAAGAGAATGACTGAAGGGCAACACACCTTGGGCACGTGAACTCGAAATCAAGCTGGCTGGCACTGTGGTGTGCAGCAGAGGAGAGAAGGGGTTACTGACCAAGTGTCCAGGGGCAGGGATGTCACAGGCATTGTGAACCTGACAGGGGTGAGGAGAATCTTCTTTGGAGTCCCTTATGGAAACCAGGTCATATTCCAGGACTGAGATGTGCTCTGTGATGAGTGCAAAGCTGAGAGGAGGAGCACAGCGCTCTGGAGTCAGGGTGGGAGGGTTGTTGAGTGCCCTGAAACAAGGTAAGTGCAGGCAGCTCTGGGACATAGCATCAGAGGGGAAATGGTCTGTGCTGTAGAAGTGAGAGGCAGCTGCCTTGTGTGCCAAGCACCTCACTGCTGGGGAAGCTTGTGGCTGCACTGACTAAGGCTTGGAAAGGGCATTGGAGCATGCTACAGGGAAGTGAAGTTGAATTAACTTGCTGTGATATTTGGCAAAAGCAAATCCTTCAGCAGGAGGCTGCAGGAGATCTGTTGGTGAGAGATAAAGCTGAGAGACCCGAGGAAGTTGAAATGGATTGTCAGTAGGGGATGTGTGGGAAGGCACAACTTGTATATCCGTAGGTGTAAAAACAACCAATATGTAACAAAGCTCTTAATTAGGAAAGTGTTAGATACTCAGTGGAGAAGGGGAAGCTTGCAGGAAAGAGGAATGAATTAGGGAGGAATGAATTAGGACAGCAGCCATCTGATATCTGAGGGGAGGCAGGCATTCTACACAGAAACATTCAGAAACAGCAAAATAAGGTTCAGGAGAGCCCTAGAGAGACACTAGGATAGCTTGGGTGTTCCCCAGCTAACCCTGCTCCTTGAGCTTTATTGGGAAACAGCATCCTTGGGTCAGTGCTGTCGAGTTCTGGTTCGCCTGGCTGTGCATGAGAACTCGCTGCCAGCAGCTGTTTGCAGCTCCCCATTTATTCCTGCTGCTCTCCTCATCCCCCTGCTGAGAGTGGCTGCAGCTGGTGGCACTGGTTTTGCAGGGATGAGTGCTGGTTGCCTGCTGGCTTTTGGAGCCGTGTACACAAATGGTCCCGCCAGATCCTTCCATCTGACCCAAGGCAAGTGGAGTCCCAGGGCTGGGATTGGGATCACCTGGGAAATGAGGAAGCAGTGCCTGATTCTGAGCTGGATCTTACCAACAGGATTCCTAGCCACCCCCAAGACAGCTCTCTTGCCAGGCACTGTGACGTGGCTTTGGAAGAGAAGCGTGCTGATAGCATGATAAATGGGCTGCTGGAAAAAACCCCAGAACTTAGCAAGATTTTTGATGTGCTTAATATCAACCTCATTTTCCATCTGTTTTGAAATGATTACAGCAAACTTTGCTCTGTTGTTGTTGGTTCTTGTGATTAACCATGTATATTTATTGAATGGATGTAACACTTTGGATTTTGACATGTGTCAAGTTCTTTCCCTCACAGCTGAAAGATGTATTCTCCCTGATCAGTGTAGCATTGCCCATCACAGGACAGCTAGGAAGGAGGTGACAGTGTCCTTTCAATGACTCCCTCTAGCTGAATAGCTGATGAATTCAGAGTTCTGCTGGCATCTTGTTTGTCTTATCTTAAATGTTACCTTTTCTTCTTGAAGGCTAGCCAACACAAAAGTAACCGTGAAGGCTGCGTTTGCAGATGACTTTGACACCTCCAGGGCTGTTGCAGCAATTATGGACCTCATTCACCATGGCAACAGACAGCTTAAGGCTGTTACTAAGGTAACCCATTAGGATACAGAGATCAGAAAATGACAGCTGTCCACTGTCCTACTGTTTAATGCAGACAGATTAGTTTATTGTTCACATAAGAAACCAGCAGAAACAAAGCTCCATAAATTGTTGACCTTAATGGAGCCTATTTGTCCTGACCCTATCATAGGAATTGGATGGATATTGTTGTGTGCTTCGTTGTGTCCAGAGGATGTTTCTTTCCTGCTGCCCTATATTATTTATACCTAAGGCTTTTGAAAGGCCTGAAGCCATTGTGACATGCTGCTAATTTTAGTGTTCTTACTCTGCTTCTTTGCTTAATATCCATGCACAGAAATTAACCTAAATTGGGAAATGGGGGTGGGGGCTTGCTGCAGGGGCTTTGGCAGGCAACCCCATGTGCACGGGGCAGTCCCGGGGGCGAGCTCAGGGTTGGGGACTGAGTGGCTTCTGCTGTCAGCACCTTGTAACTTGTGGCATCAGCATTCCTGCATGAGTCTGTCTTCAGGTGACTTTTGGAGAATTGAGACCCTGTTAAGATCTCTTGATGCTGACACAAACAAGGCAGCTGGAAAGGACAAGACCTGAGTGATAAACACAATCTAAAGCACTTGTGGGTCTTCATTTACCAACAGCTCACTTCGTCACTCAAGGCAAGCACCTCAGCCTTGTTGCTGTGCTCCTTGATTGCTGGTGTCATCTGTTCATCATGTTTGTGCTGTAAAAGAAACGTTGACTCCATGGTAATAACTGATTTTAAGAGAGAATTAGCCTGTTGATTTAGAAATCGTGCTTCCTGCTGGTCCTCTTTTGGCATTGGCTGTAAATTCTGCCCTTAGCCTTTTACAAAAGCACTTCTACAAAAGCACTTTTACAAAATAAATCTCTAAGCAAATTCACTCCTAAATACAGGTAAGCAAAAAAAAAAAATCACTCCTAAATACAAGTAACCTCATTTTGTCAGTAATTTCTCGTTCTCCCCTGAATTCCTCCTGCCAATTCTTTTGTTGAGAATGGGATGGGGTATTTGTGGGGCAGCTGCCTCCGATTCTGGTTGGAGTGGTGGAGCTTTCTGGGTACAGCCCAGATGTCCGAGTGTTCCCTGTTACTGGCTCTGTCTGTAGTTTTTCTCCTTAAGAGCTCTGAGTAAATCCACATAACTACTTATTCCTCTCTTTAACCTTCTTGCCATTCTTAGCTTAGTTAGCATGTTCCTGTTTCTTTGTCTCAGTGGCCCGCTCCAGCTCCTCCCAGTTCAGATCTTCTACACATTTTAGGTTATGGTTTATGTCAGGCCCTAACGAAGATGTCTGGTAAAATCCAGTACCAGCTGTTCATTTGCTTGTGTGTGTCATCACTCTTATTTCTTAGGCAAGGCTTAGTCCCTTAAATTGCTCCTCAGTCTATCATTTAATCTTGATTTTATTGCTGCTGCTGCTGCTGGTTTCTGGTGCTACCAGGGCATGACAAAGTACCATACACTATCTCTGAGAGGTCTCCACATTGATCAAATCAGTAAGACGCTCAAAGAATGATTTTATTTTTTTAATCCTTTATACTATAGGTGCCCATGAATCTGGGATTTTTTTCTTTTTATTTTGTTGCCATACACACAGCCCTTTCATGCCCAGAAGTGCTATTTTTATGTCTAATTCACTGCACACATGTAATGCACGGCAGCTTCACAAGCGTCTCTTGTCCTTGCTGTGCAGGTTGGTGATAAGCTCTTCCCTTCCCTCATTTATTTAAATCTTTTCCCTTTGTGCTGTGAGGTGCTTTTATATCTCTGTAAGATTGCCCGTCTGGGCAGGTGTTCCTGGTGGAGGTAGATCTATATAATTAGTAAGAGTTTTCCCCTGTGGACTAGGCTACAGAGAGATGCTGGGTTCTGTAATATGTATTGACTGGGCAATCTCTTTTGAGTGTTTTTTAAACAGGATGCTGGATCTCCTAGAAGCTCTGTTGTGTATGGAAGCATTATTTCCTATGTAGAAGGTTTTTTCAATGCCCTTGGGATGTCCTTTGGAGAAAGACAGGTATGAAACATCTCTTCTGTGTGTTCTAGTATATGGTAGCACCCAGTGTTATGTTTTACAGAATGCTTTCCGAAAGCACCAGATGTAACGAAGTAATTGATGGGTTTAGTAAACCTTTCTGCTTCCAGTTTCTTCTGTGATGTCTGTGAGTGCGTGTGAGCAGGTGGAACAAAGTGTAGGCTTGTTTCTTCTCAGAGGTACTCTTGTGTGGTTTCTGCACCAAGGGTGCTGTGGAAATGAAAGTCTGAGGAATGAAATGAGAAAAAGTTGGCATTGGAGGCCTTTAAGTTGGTCCTGTTGTGTGTCTGGCTTTCCCCCAGCTTTTCCTCTTCTTTCTGATGGTGGCACCCAGGCTGTCTTCAGTAGCTGTGTGAATATTTGCAGTTGTGACCCCCTTGCACTGAGCAGGAGCTGGGGTCCTGCTCCTCTGCAGAAAGCAGGGGTGGGGGAAGGGGCTGCTCTGCCTTGAGCCACGGTGGGGTGTGGGGAGGGGAGTGCACTGAGGTGCAGAGGGGGCCCTTAAAAGAAAAGGGAAGATAGGAGTGGGGAGAGAAAAAAAGGATAAAAAAGCTCAAAGCAAAGTACTGCACAGGAAAGAGAGTCATAAATATGGAGGTGATATCCTGATGTATGGAAGGGAAGCATTTAAAATGACACAAGATGTTGGAGAATAGCAGGCTGTTCTGTGCTCCTCTCCTGCTCAAATATGGAGCTGAATACCAAGAAGTGGAGAACTTTCTTTAGAGAAACCGTTCTGCAAAAATTTATTTTGGGGAGGGGGACAAGAGGATATGAAAAGGTACGTAACATTATTCGTCCTCTGAAAGTCAGGCAGTATAGCAATAAATGCATTTATTTACTTCATTTCTTTATGGATTTTCTCACAAAATTTCTTTCAGAACAGCAGCTGGATGTGATTTGGCCATGTGTTATTCCTCATAGCCTGTAGTTTGCATCTTAATTTTTAGTGGCATATGAAACACTAATTTTTCTTTAGTTTGCGTGGTAAAGTCAGTCCTCCAGATTCTGGGCTGTCTGTATGCAAGTGTCTGTTGCACCTATGTTTTTCCTGAAACAAGTATCTGAATGCTTTTCTTTGTTGTAAGCTGTGCTAGTTTCTCTGTGGCAACAGGATCAGCAGAAGATGCTGGTCTGAGGAAGGGAGGGAGGAAAGGAGGGAGGAAGGAAGAAAGGAGCAAGCACATCAGACTCTTTTCTGTCCCTCTGTTCTTTCAGATTCCAGTAAATTAATCCATCAAAATCTTCATCAGAAAGGTCCACGGGCTACCACACATTAGTAAATAAAATGCGGGCATTGTTCTCTGACCTTGAGACCAGCCACAACAGCTCAGCATCCCACCTTTTCTGCCCCTTAGCCAGGTAGCCCCAGGCATGCAGCCATGAGTCCTGACACGTGGGCTGTCTGGGAGAGGGCTGGCTGGCATGGCCACTGCTGTGCCAACAGCTTAGTGTAGAGGATACAGGGAGCAGTGTTTGAGTAGGTGCCTTGTTTGAACTCGGTGTTTGTAGAGGTATGTTTGCTACTCCCATCATCATTTTTCTTTTCTCTCCCTTCTGTATTTAAGCATTTATCCTGCTCTTTTACCTACCCCAGGTTACTTTGGAGCATTTCTGGCACTTAGATTTATTACCTTCTTCAATCTCATAAACCTTTTCTTTAGTATGGTTACCTGTTTTGAAAGCTTGGGGAATTTGCTGCATCTCATACTTTTATCTTCAATAGCTTTCCCCTCACCTCCTCCTCCTCCTCCTCTTTGTTTGTCAGTGACCTCTGAAACTGCTCCCTTTCCTTTCCATCCTGCTGTTCAGTGACTACAGTCCCCTCTGGCTTTAATTACTCAGCTGCTCTTCTGCTCCCAGATGAGCGTTGCTGGCGGCAGCTTCACCCCTGGCCTTGGTGTGCTTTATGTTTCACTGCTCTGTTGGCTGCTCCCCCTCTCATGTCTCAGTGATAAAATACCGCTGTGGCCTTCTCTTGTTTATTGGAGGTTCATCCTTTTCCTGCCCCTTAGGAGTTTGCCTCTAATGAGAAACAGAGATGGTCTCTCTGCCAAGAGCGAGACCAGGAGCCTGGCTGTGCCAGTGCTGAGGAGTGGCCTTCCTCTTCAGCTAACTCCCAAGCTCCCGTCCTGGCAGCTGTTGGACCAGGACCCTGTAGGAGGAGCAAGACTTCTACCAAGCCAGAGGGAGCTGAGGAAGCTCGGAGCTGGCTGAGGGAAGGAGGGGCTTGGCTACAGCCAGAAAACACCCACTCACCGTGTGGAATGGCTGCTGCTCTGTTGCGTTGAGTGGCTGTGACTTTGGGCAAGGTGGATCAGGTGAAAGTTTTATGGATTTGGGTAGATTTTTTCTGTTGATGCAAGGAGAAAGGCTAGAGACTTAAAGTGAAAATACTTACTGTTTCCTGGTTTGTATTTCCTGAAGGGAGTGGTTCCATGGTGTAATGGTTAGCACTCTGGACTCTGAATCCAGCGATCCGAGTTCAAATCTCTTTCCTCCGTTCAATTCCCGGTCAGGGCCACTCCCGGGCAGGTGGGGCTCGTTAGCCCTTAAAGGCAACCCATCTACGTCCTAAGGACCTCGCTGCCACCGTCCAAGCTCGCTTGGCCCCGGCAGATGAACCTTAGGATTAAAGGGTGGGCTCAGTTCCGCGCACACTGTGTCTCACCTAAAAAATCCACTGCACAGGCTGGAAGGTGTAAAGACCTTCCCCGGATCTTCGCTTGCGAAGACTGGCCATTATTTATTATTATTTCCTGAAGGAGGCCTGGAGATCAAAGGCAGAGTAAAGGGCTGATGCGTTTGCGAGGTCTTTGGACTTTTACAGCCTAGGAGCTGTCTGAGCTGGTGGCTGGACATCCCTTGCTGAGTTGGATTCCTGTTGCCAGGTCTTTCTTCCATTAATTTGTCTAACCCCTTTCTAACTTATGCACATTTCTGGCATCTTGGAGGTTTCCTGTGGTGACAAGTTCCACACTCAGGTTATGCAGTGTGTTATGCTCATGTCAGAGCACTCTGCTCCAACATAGATGCTTTCCTGTGTATGAATACACTGAACTACTTCCAAATGTGCCTCCACTGTAACTTTTTGTCCAGCATTAGTGAGATGGTGACATTTTAATCCTTCCAATATATGGAAGATGCACAACCAAGAGAGGTGATGAGGCCTCAGTGCGTGCTGCTGAGCTGGGGTTGATTTTTTAAATACCATTCTCAGATGTTTGTAAAGCACCCTGTTTGATTTCTAGGTGGCTGTGGGAGGAGACAACTCTGCAGTGCTCTCTAATGTCCTTGACGAGCTTGTGAGGTTCCGCACAAGGGTCCGTCACTACGCGCTGGCTCTGCCCGAAGCAGCAGGTGCTGTGCCAGTGGAGGGGGCTCCAGGAGCCAGTGAACCCAAACAAGAGCAGAAGGAGAAGAGGAAGCAGTTAATGCGTGAGAGAAAACCCCTCCTGGAGGCTTGTGACAGTCTTCGTGAAGACCTTGCTGCCTTCGGAATCCACATAAAGGTAGAAGACAGTAACCCTCTTTGTGAGACTGTTAATCATTTTTTAAGACAACACTTATTTTTGCCCTTTGGTCCCCTTCAGCAGCTTGCAGTGTTGTCCCCTGCTCCCTGTGTGACTGCAGTAGCAGGAGGTGAAAGTCCAGCCCTTGTCTGGCGGTACTGCTGCCTTCTCTTCTGCTCCCCCTCAGCCTCGTGTCTCCATGCAAGCTGTACCTACTTCTGCAGTTACTAAGTGTGTGCTGTTTAGCCACTGAAAATCTAATATCCAGAAATCCCTAAGTTGCCCAAGTCCAATCCAGAAGGAAAGGTATGAGTAATGTGTGCGATATTAAAAAAGACTGCAAAGGAACTGCAAAGTAAACTGAGATGACTTATAAAAATAACGCTTCCTTCTACCCTCCCCAAATTTCCCATCAAAAATAAGTCCTCATGAGAAAGCCTCTTCCGTCTTCAGCAGCTCCTTTCCCAACTGTTCCTGAGCCACAAGTACTTTGCCTGATTTCTGTACCACTCCTCTCCTTCCTGCTTTCTACTTTTACCCTACACCTAACGCCACTGATCTTTTCCATTACCTCAGTGGCACCTCCTGCTCAAGAGAAGCCCATCCATTGTGTTACTGCCTTCTCCTGGTTTCAAGGAGCTGTGTTACTTCTGTAATGGCACTGCTTCTTCCAGTTCCTCTTCTTCACTGCCCTTCTCACCTCTGCTGCACCCATTGGTGGGTCAGTGTTGCTCCCTGTGTGCAGAGAAATCCTTGTATTCTCTACAGTGTCGTTTTCCCTCCCTCCAGTTTATGCTGCTTATTTTTCCCTCGCTCGGGAACTGAGCCTGCCTAGTCTGCTTCCATCCTTTTGCCGGTGGGGATATAAAGCACAGTGACATCAGGGAGGGACATTCTACATCTGCTTTGGTTGCCCAACGTGAGAGCTGTCACTTGTCAGCACACCTGTTAGAAACAGCTACGGAGCGTGGTCGCTGTCTGAGGGTCTTGGATGAAAGCGAGTGTGCCGATACAAACTGGCTGAGGGGCAAAGCACTGTGGTGGTGAGCTACAGCTGTGAAAGCAGAGGAAGACTCTGGAAAGCTGGAATATCTGCTTCCTTTAATTTTTTTGGATTTTCAAAGTCTTGGAGAAGAAGCCTGCCTTTTGATCTATTGGCAAAACAGCCAGAGCCCCATTTCCACCCTTGTGCAGATTTGTTTTGCTTTGTTTTTTAAGGGATTTACAAATGAAAACTTCACAGAAATTGGCCAGAACCAGGATTCAGACCATTCCATTTATTTAAAAAATGTTTTTAATAACCTGAAGCTCAGCACAATCTGTCTCCTGCTCCTCCTAGAAGAGATTGCT